GCCACCCATCCCCCTACTCGTGTGTGTGTGTGTGTGTGTGTGTGTGTGTGTGTGTGTGTGTGTGTGTGTGTGTGTGTGTGTGTGTGTGTGTGTGTGTGTGTGTGTGTGTGTGTGTGTGTGTGTGTGTGTGTATGTGTATGTGTATGTGTATGTGTGTGTGTGTGTATGTGTATGTGTATGTGTATGTGTATGTGTATGTGTATGTGTATGTGTATGTGTGTGTGTGTGTGTGTGTGTGTGTGTGTGCGTGTGTATAAACATTCCTGAATCAGTCACACTATTCCCCCTATCTGGTCTCTCGGTAATTTGACAGACAAGCATGAAGGACAGTAGGGTGCCCTCACCCAGAAGACAGGTGATATCAGTCCCTGGACATTATTGGTCACCGTCCCCCCCCACCCCCCCAAGCTGTTGTATCTCCGTAGCTGCCACCAGTAATGCTTGAGTCGTGTTCAAGTTACGCCAACAAGAGTAGCCTAACTATATATATATATATATATATATATATATATATATATATATATATATATATATATATATATATATATATATATATATATATATATATATATATATATTGTCTCTCTCTATTGAGAGAGAGAGAGAGAGAGAGAGAGAGAGAGAGAGAGAGAGAGAGAGAGAGAGAGAGAGAGAGAGAGAGAGAGAGAGAGAGAGAGAGAGAGAGAGAGAGAGAGAGAGAGAGAGAGAGAGAGAGAGAGAGAGAGAGAGAGAGAGAGAGAGACTATTTACCCAACATCCGACAATGCTCGATGGTCAACTTCGGCGCAGATGTGTCATCGAATCAGCTCACTTTCTGAGGCCCCCGTGAGCAACACAAATACGAACAAGCTTGAATGGTTCCCAAGCCAATATGCATCCGAAAACGCCACACCCCAGAAGGATTCGAACCCCAGAGAGCCAGGAGCACTATGCACCTTGGCGTACTGGGTATGAAAGAGTGAGGTAGAGAACGCGTCGTGAGATGGTATCTGGTGAAGGGGGCGGCGCCCCACCCCTGACCCCACGCGTGGATGGGCAGCAATGCCAGCCACATCACGTGATGGAGAGGGGGCAGGTGAGGGGAGAAGTTTTAGGAATTTGAAATATATAGCGAGTTATGATAGCGAGGCGGACCGCCCGCCCGGTGCCACGATGTGTGTGTGTGTATGGTAGCGCGCTGGCTCACCACACACGTAAGTTGCTAAGCTTACAGCCTGTACTTGCTTGTGGTCGGTCTCGAACCTATTGTCAGTATACATTGAAGTGTGTAACTAGTTAATTACGCAACTTGCTCAGCTTAAGGAATTATGAGGTTCAATTCCTGAGCCCATTGTGGGCCTCTGTAACCCCTTCCACCGCCCGCCCTCAGGATAGGTATGGCGTGCATAATAGATGAACTAAATTGTTGGGACTCCGGCAGGGTGAGTGTCCCCTGGAAGGGGTAGGGAGGAAGGGGTCCCGCGTGGGGTCGGGAAACAGCTCCCTTCTGGAGGGGCGGGAGAAGGCCGCTCACAAAAAGCAATAAAGCACCATAATTTTGAATTCAATTTCTGAAAAGATTGACAGGTGTGGCGGTGGTGACGGAGCGCAGCCTGTCTATCGTGACCCGTCCCTTCTAGTCGCCTCGAAGCGTTTCTTATATAATTAGTTTGACGTTGGCGGTATATATCCCTTCGTAGGGTATATACTTACATATTAAACGGACAGAATATCCCTCTCGATGCTGTCAAACATGTGCTTAGCTATGAGTGCTAGTGGCCTGAACCCGGCCTGGGTAAATACTCGCCAAGAATCCTCCGGGCTTCTCACACCCACCTTAACCACGTGCCATCCCCGTCTTATTAACACCTGATATGTGTTAATGTGTAAGGTATTAAACTGGCAGAACAAGTCTATTTGATAAACTTGGCCATCTTGAGAGCGCACGCAAGGCTGTGTGGGTGAACACAGCAGTCAGTCAATGGTGAGGCGAGGCTGGCGAGTTCATCCCCAGCCCACACGTCTGAAAGTTAAGAAACGTGGTTGTTTATTAATGTTCCGATGTGTGGGGTGGGTATCAGTAGAGCTAAAATGGCAGGAATTGGATGAAACCCCCGAAGAGACTGAGAGCAAAAGGCCTTCAATAAAATTGATAGTTTCGTTCATTTATTATACACCCCATACCCATCTTGAGGGCGGTAGTGTAAAGGGTTACAGAGGCACATAATGGGCTCAGGGACTGAACTCTCGCAAATTGAAAGGCATCCAAAATGTTTATTCTGCTATTGAGCCGTTGCATAAGAGAAATAAAACATTCACAGATGACAACGAAGAAATTGGTTATATTACACCAAAATAGTGTTTCCGGTGAAGTGCTTAAACACACCCCAAGTGAGTTCTGTAAGAGCCTGATGTTCGCCTCGCCTCGTATGTTAGATGTGAGACTAAACTGGACCTGAACACAACCACTGACACCATTCCCATGCACTCCCGCTCACACTCCTGGCGTTACATATTCATACAGAATTGCACAAAAGTACGAAAGGAATAACTTGCAAAGCAGAACGAAGTATATAAACAGAACTAAGAGTAACAGTTTAAGTAAAATCTGGATGATCGACCATGACAGTGGGAGCCACAAGGTACTTGGCCAGGTGCTCTCATTCTCATCTCTGATATAAACACGACACAAACTATAGTCCCGCTTCATCATTTGCAGATAACACCAGGATTTTTATGAAAGTTGACAACATAGAGGACACGGCAAATCTCCAAACTGATGTAAATCAGGACTTTCAATGGGCACATAAAATATGGTATTTAATGAAGATAAGTTCCAGCTCTTGTGCTATGGAACAAAAATTAAATATAAAAACGGAAACTACGTACAAAACTCAGTCAAATCATACCAAAGAACGAAAAAGTAATGAAAAGGATTTGGGTGTAATGTCAGAAGACCTTACCTTTTAAAGAACACAATAAAATTGCCGTCACAACTGCAATAAAAATGACAGGTTGGATAACAAGAACCTTTCACACTAGAGATGCCGTACCAATGATACTTTTCAAGACGCATAGTGCTCTCTAGAGTGGAATACTGTTGCACAATAACAGCCCCTTTCAAAGCTGGATAAATTGCTGACCTGGAGAGCGTGACGAGATCCTTTACTGCTACAATCCACCCACTAAACCACATAAATTGCTGGGACCGACTAAAATGCCTAAATCTCTATTCTCTAGAGCATAGGCGGGAGAGATTCATAATTATTTACACATGGAAAATATTTAGAGAGGCTGGTCCCAAACCTGCACACAGAGATAACATCACACGAGACCAGAAGGCATGGCAGGATGTGCAGAATACCCCCGTAGAAAAGTTAGATTGCAATAAGTATTTTTAAGTGACAATTGAGTAACGTTAAGGGCACGCGGGATTTAAACACTCACTAAATATGAGAGGCATAACTAGACGAACTCTTTGGACGTTCAAGAGAACTTACTAGGCATCACTAAAGGGATTCTGATCAACCGGGCTGTGATTATTAGCGGGTTATATAGAACAAGCCCACACACAGAGTAGAGGGTACACCACCACACAGAGCGGAGGGTCTCTCTGAATTAATATAAATTCTTGTGCCGGATATCAGTAATTGTTGGTTGAAGTCTGGCATTGACGTACTCCACGAGGCCTTCAGCCCCGCCCTCGGCGGGTGTTCTCTTTGGAAATGTACGGAGTGCTTTGCGAAACACATCATTAGGCGTCACACCATACTAAAGTGTGGAAATGAACTTTGGAGAGTTAATTTTTAAACTTTCCTCGACAATGAAGAAAAACATAAGAAATATTGGGAAGATTCATTTTAGAATAATTAATCTTACCCTTTCGATCATATTCTATATATATATATATATATATATATATATATATATATATATATATATATATATATATATATATATATATATACATATATATATATATATATATATATTTACTTGGACCCCTAGGGGAGAGTCGAGCCTCCATCCCGCTGCCTTGTTTACCTAACAGCGCTGTCTTGTTTACCTAACAGCGCTGCCCTGTTTACCTAACAGCGCTGCCTTGTTTACATAACAGCGCTGCCTTGTTTACCTAACAGCGCTGCATTGTTTACATAACAGCGCTGCCTTGTTTACCTAACAGCGCTGCCTTGTTTACATAACAGCGCTGCCTTGTTTACCTAACAGCGCTGCATTGTTTACATGACAGCGCTGCCTTGTTTACCTAACAGCGCTGCCTTGTTTACATAACATCGCTGCCTTGTTTACATAACAGCGCTGCCTTGTTTACATAACAGCGCTGCCTTGTTTACCTAACAGCGCTGCATTGTTTACATAACAGCGCTGCCTTGTTTACCTAACAGCGCTGCCTTGTTTACATAACAGCGCTGCCTTGTTTACCTAACAACGCTGCATTGTTTACATAACAGCGCTGCCTTGTTTACCTAACAGCGCTGCCTTGTTTACATAACAGCGCTGCCTTGTTTACATAACAGTGCTGCCTTGTTTACATAACAGCGCTGCATTGTTTACATAACAGTGCTGTCTTGTTTACATAACAGTGCTGCATTGTTTACATAACAGCGCTGCCGTTAACGCTTAAATACGATTAAGGAACCAATGCATCAATCGAATAATATTTGAGAGCCGGGACCCAAGCGCCGTGACTCAACGCCCACATATGCAGTACATAAGTTTACCAAGTGTAGAGAAAGGCGAGTAATGTGTTAAGTCAAACGTGGCGTGCTATACCCGCGGAGTGTATCCAACTCTCCCGCCCAGGTTGGCACTCTCATTCACTCCTCCCGCGCTCCTCTCCCATTGGTCAGCCGCACCAACGACTCGCTCCGGCGCGAGAGCAAACGTTCTAAGGGAGGCTGCAGCTGACGCCGCCTAGCCGTTGAGCCTCAGGATCTACTCAGAATCTGGCGGAGCGCTTGAGTAAGTGGGAAGGAGTCAGTGGTACGGTGTTTGTCATTTAGTGAACACGGGGCTGTGACAGTCTATTGCGGGGGCCGTGTGTCACAGGAGGGAAGGAATTTGTGAGTGGTGACGGGGAAGTCCTCGGTACCAGGCGATGGTCCTTAGTTACCCGCCGGATGGGGATAGACCTTAGAGTGACAGATCATAGTTTAATACTGTCCATGACTTGTGTTGATTAAAATTATTGCTTTGAGCTGGCGATTTTCCCAGGCTAAGCAGTCGTGGTATACTGCAGTTGGCTCATTCAGTAATTAGCTGACATCGTTCACTAAATGAGCGAGTTAACTTTTCAGTAATAATTACGTCGTTTATGTGCATTCTGAACTTCCCTTTGAAGTTTAACCTTACAAGTCTCCACCTTACATATGCACACATTAGAATGTGATCTCTTGCATACTTCCTGCGCCTCAAGTCACAAGCAATCTTAACAAGTAATTTGTTACATATCTGACACAATTGTTAATATTGGAATATTAACAATTGTGTTAATATTGGAATAATTTTCACAAGATAACCACTTGGCGTGGTGCAGAACACACACCACACACCAGCACCACCACCAGCAGGGACAGGCGAGGCTGGCAGACAGTACCCCACCGCCGCCACAGTCAGCCCAACACAGAGAGTGACGGCGAGAGGTATAGACAGAGCTGCGACTAGTGAGGCCAAGACAGGCAAGACGGTGGAAGATGTAGTGGGAACGACTCAACTTGTGGTAGCGTGTGGTTGACAGACAGTCGTGTTGCTGGTGAACGGAACACTTGTGAAACAGTGGTGAGAGACGCGCAGGTGAAGGCATCTCTACGACACAAGTTGCGAGGCGCCGGTGCTCCGTGAGAGGAAGACCCCTCCGTCAGCGCCTGCTAGTGTCGGCCCTCACCCCCGCTACCACCCAGCCGTCATGGGGTACCTCACCGTCGTCCTCATAGGTGAGTGAGGCTCGGTCAGGAGCACGTGGGTCCCGGGTGTGTTCCCCGGCCGCGTCTCCCGCGGGAGGCCTGCGCCGCACGCCTCAAACCCTTGCCTCTTAACCTCCTGCAATTTATACCTTGACAATATACACGAATTTATAAAATTTGTAGTTTGATAGCGTCGCTGTAACCTGTCGGGCTGCTTGGAATTTATTTCTCATTCCATTCGTTGATTGTGAGCATGCATGCACAGTACACCATACAAGCACACGAACCATACAATAACAACCCGTACGCATAAAGACGTTCCCAGGATCGCGCGCTCACGAACGCACATGACGTAGCCATAAGAAATATCGTCGGGAGATAAGAGAGCCATAATGGGTATACTGGGAGATAAGAGAGCCATAATGGGTATACTGGGAGATAAAAGCCATAATGGGTATACAAGGAAATAAAAGCCATAATGGGTATACTGGGATTGTTTGATCACGTGTACCGCTCCCGGGAGGAATATCAGGGGCACAGTAGACTACCGCCGCTGGCAGTAACAACGCTGCCATGTTCAGCTGTGGGCCGCCTTGACCCTTGGCCCGGCCAGGTCAACACCAGCCTCCCGGCCCGCCTGTGTTTACCATGGGAGACACCCACATATCACCGTCTGTCTGTCAGTAGGCGCGCGTCCCTTCACCATTAATTTCCTGTCTAAGAGATAGATACGGCTACTGCAACTTTTGTTTCATAACATATCAATATTCTATATTTGTGTGTGTGTGTGTGGCGAGGCTGACACGTGTGTGTGTGTGTGTGCGTGCGCGCGCGCGCGCGTGTGTGTGTGTGTGTGTGTGTGTGTGTGTGTGTGTGTGTGTGTGTGTGTGTGTGTGTGTGTGTGTGTGTGGTCCCCCTCCGTGCTGCGCTCATCTCCCTGCCACGGAGGCTTAGGGCGGCATCAGCAGCAGAACACAAACAACGTGTATTGCACACCTCATTATTGTGTCGGTGATGGTGAGTGCACTGGTGTTGTTTCAGTGGTGCCCAGTTTGTCGGTGTTGGTGTCGTGTCGGTGGTGTCGTGTCGGTGGTGTCGTGTCGGTGGTGTCGTGTCGGTGGTGTTGTGTCGGTGGTGTTGTGTCGGTGGTGTCGTGTCGGTGGTGTCGTGTCAGTGGTGTTGTGTCGGTGGGGTTGTGTCGGTGTTGCCGTCGTGTCTGTGTCGTCTCGGTGGTGGTGTCGTGTTAGTGGTGGAGTGTGTCAGTGGTGGTGTGTGCCAGTGGTGGAGTGTGCCAGTGGTGTGTGTGCCAGTGGTGGTGTATATTTCATCTTATCACATCTGAGGCCACGACAGAGCGGACGGTTGCCCATTATAGATGCTCGTGTCTAATTAACATTATCGGGTTCTCACGTGTGTGGCCAGGCTGGTCCTTGTGTGTGTGTGTGTGTGTGTATGTGTGTGTGTGTGTGTGTGTGTGTGTGTGTGTGTGTGTGTGTGTGTGTGTGTGTGTGTGTGTGTGTGTGTGTGTGTGTGTGTGTGTGTGTGTGTGTGTGTGTGTGTGTGTGTGTGTGTGTGTGTGTGTGTGTGTGTGTGTGTGTGTGTGTGTGTGTGTGTGTGTGTGTGTGTGTGTGTGTGGTGCGCATGTTACAGTGCATGATGGTGTGTGATGCATGTATATGTACACTATGGGGCCAGTTTTAATAGTAATTCTCATCTCGAGTTTCTATACTGATTACTGACTTATTATAACAAAAGTATTCATATTTAAGGTTTTAGTATTTAGTATTTCTTTATAATAATAATATAATACGTAATATATAGAAAGTAAGGTATATTCATAATATATAGAAAGTAAGATATATAAACAATATATATATATATATATATATAATTATAACCACAGTAACGCGGGTAATATTTCATTCACTTGGACCATTGGAGTCTCGACCCCGTTACCAGAAAAGCGAAAGGCCGTAGACCTGCCAACCATACCATGAGCGCCCGCAATAAGAAAGGACACCAGAGACACCTGTCTAGTATCATACTGTGAGTGTGTAGTCCTTCCCTGGGACGCCAGTCACAGCCCCGCTCCTGTGCCAGGTAAGTCCACAACGGGCTCGCCATAGCCCGTGCTACTTGGAACTTTTTTTGTTCCCGGTATCTGAATCTTAAACAGCAGCAGGAGCAGCTTAAGGTGCCAGCTGTGGAGACCATTAGATGTGTGTGTGTGTGGGGGGGGGGGGGTACATCCTTGTGGTGGGCGCTAGTAGTGCTTTGGGCTTCAGCTTTTGTGTTCACGACGTTGTGTTCCATGGTCCAGCTGAAAATATATATATATATTTATATATATATATATATATATATATATATATATATATATATATATATATATATATATTTATTTATTTATTTATATATATATATATATATATATATATATATATATATATATATATTTATATATATATATATATATTTATATATATAAATTATATATATATATTTATATATATATAAATTATATATATATATATATATATATATTCTATATATATAGATATATATATATATATATATATATATATATATATATATATATATATATATATATTCTATATATATAGATATATATATATATATATATATATATATATATATATATATATACATATATATATATATATATATATATATATATGGGTTAGGCTATGGGTCTATGGCTATGGCTATGGCTATGGGTTAGGCTATAGGCTATGGATATGGGTCCGAGGCTATGGGTCCCCACATTGGCACCAGAGGTGGTACCCTCACAAACTTTTATATATTCTAAATATATATATATATATATATATATATATATATATATATATATATATATATATATATATATATATATATATATATATATATATATATATAATCAGTAACGGTAATCATAATTATATATTAATAACACAATTCATAAAGATAAATTTAGCAAATTCAATTGTTTTATTTTCATGTACACATTAATAATACATTTTCTCGTAACTAGTTTGATTAATACTGTAATGTGGCGCTGACACACACCAGCAAGATCTCTGGCTCCCCCAGCAGGCACGGGACGTCCTGCCCGCCGCCACCACCACCACTCCTCACCGGGTCGACGGCGGTAGTTCTTGTCCCGGGCCAGCCATCACAGAACCCTTGATCGACCTGATCACCTTGTTCCACTGTTCCTGCCTCGTTAAAATAATAACGTTCTCGTTGCGAAGTGTGTTTGCTGGCCTCGCTGCGGCCTCGCTGCGGCCTCACTGTGGCCTCGCTGCGGCCTCACTGCGGCCTCGCTGCGGCCTCACTGCGGCCTCGCTGCGGCCTCACTGTGGCCTCACTGCGGCCTCACTGCGGCCATACTGCGGCCACACTGCGGCCACACTGCGGCCTCACTGCGGCCTCGCTGCGGCCTCACTGCGGCCATACTGCGGCCACACTGCGGCCTCGCTGCGGCCTCGCTGCGGCCTCACTGCGGCCACACTGCGGCCTCGCTGCGGCGTCACAGTGCGACATTGTTAAGCTTTTATTAAACCCAAGAGCGGCTTCCGAGATGCCGCATTCCTGGAAGATGCGGCGAGGGTTGAAGGACGCCGGCGGTGGAGCAGGAGGGCGGCGATCAAGGGTTCTATGATGGGTGGCCCGGGCCAGCACTACCGCCGTGGTGCCGGCTGTCACCTGCGGCCAGGTATATGGTCCCGGAGCACCCAATTAACCGGCTTCCATGTCACCCGCATGTGTGGCAACACTCGTATGTTGGGATGGTCAGTCCTCGCTGTGTGAGGGGGGGGGGGAGGGGAGGGGGGGACGGTGGGGTGAGGGGGGGTGAGGGGGGGGGGGGAAGGGGTGAGTTGGTACCCATCTTGTCCCTCACTCCCCGAGGTGGGTTCGACTTCTATGTGAAGGGATTCGAGAATTTCCAATCTTCTTACACATCTAGGGTTCTATGTAATATACAATATGTCGCATATTACATAAATATGCAACATGTTCCCTCTTATCTCCTCATTACGGGCTTCAGGCATGAGGGCTCGAAGGGCTTCGAGTCCTGAGGGCTTAGAGGACACAGGCATGAGAGTCCCTCATGCCTGTGCCACCTCTTGGGCGGCTTACTCCTCACCAGTCAACCAAAGTCTCATTCATCACTTGAGAAGGAACCATGTATGTTCGAAACGTTGTGTAAATTATTATAAATGTAATACATTCTACAGTTAATTTTGATTCGTTTATAAACCTCGAACAAATAAGACATTTAGAGAAATCCTCTTCCAGTTAAACCAAGTTATAAGAGCACTAGTCACAGGGATAGAAGCCCTAAACAAGAAAATAGTCAACCCGAATATGCAGCATAGTGAATGAAACGTGTCTAAATGAAAACCTGCTGCTGGTATATGTGTACACGTACACACGTACACACACACACACACACACACACACACACACACACACACACACACACACACACACACACACACACACACACACACACACACACACACACACACACACACACACACAGGTAGCCTGGAAGACGGGGCCTGGTAGCCTGGTGGATAGCGCACAGGACTCGTAATTCTGTAGCGCGGGTTCGATTTCCGCACCAGGCAGAAACAAATGGGCAAAGTTTCTTTCACCCTGAATGCCCCTGTTACCTAGCAGTAAATAGGTACCTGGGAGTTAGTCAGCTGTCACGGGCTGCTTCCCGGGGGGGGGGGGTGGAGAAAAAAAAGTAGTAGTAGAAACAGTTGATTGACAATTGAGAGGCGGGCGGAAAGAGCAAGGCTCAACCCCCGCAAGAACAACTAGGTGAATACACACACTACGCATATGTGCGTGGTGTGGAGGGTGGTTATCTTGAGGTTATCTTGAGATGATTTCGGGGCTTTAGTGTCCCCGCGGCACGGTCCTCGACCAGGCCTCCACCCCTAGGAAGCAGCCCGTGACAGCTGACTAACACCCAGGTACCTATTTTACTGATAGGTAACAGGGGCATAGGGTGAAAGAAACTCTGCCCATTGTTTCTCGCCGGCGCCCGGAATCGAACCCAGGACCACAGGTTCACAAGACCAGTGTGCTGTCCGCTCGGCCGACCGGCTCCCGTCGGCCGGGTGGGAGGCAGGCGTCCGCTTGTATTGTTCCTGCCTTGTATTACTACTAAGTCCATTTAGGATCATTACCGTGTGTGCGGGGGGGGGGGGGGTGGAACATAGGCCTAGATATATGCAGATGATGAGTCACAATAACGTGGGTGAAGAATGTTGACCTTCTACACACACTGGATATGTCTGAGCAGTCAAGGTAACGGGGGGGATGGGAGAGGGGGTCCCATAGTGTACTTGTAGATGGGGGAAGTAGGGGGGGAGGGAAGGGGGTGCAGCTAAAGGAATTATTTTAAACCCAGAAACGCAATTACTGTAGGAATGAGGACTAGTGGAGTGACGATGAGGAGAGGAGAACGTGAGGCTGCACACACCTCCTGGATCACTGCCCCTCCCCCCCTCCCCTCACCCATCACCCCTCACCCATCACCCCTCCCCCCTCACCCCTCACCCACCAGGCTCCCTCCTTGACCACCCCCCTCCCCTCATCCCACAGGTCAGATTAAAAGTAATATTAAACAAAGCAAACACAACCTTGGAAGCACTGAAGGTTCCGAAGACTCGGTACCAACACACAGCTACACCTACCTAAGGCTCTAGTCCGGCCCCATCTTGAATATCCTCCAGTATTCCTTACATACCTTAAGGAAAACTAACATACAAAAACTACAAGCAGTTGTTCGGTTGAGAGGAGCCAAAGCTCAACCCCCGCTCACACAACTAGGTTAGTACACACACACACACACACACCTGACACGATGTGTGAGTACACACACACACACACACACACAGTGTCAGCAAGACGGAGAGCCATACCTGCTATCATAACTCACTCTATATTCCATATATCTTAACTTTTGTCTTCACCTGTACCTCTCCATCTTCTTTACTCACCCCCCCCCCCAGCACCACCAAAAAGATGAATATAAACAAGGTGAGGGATGGTACTCACCAGGTGCTCTCAGCAGGTCTTCACCACCCTACCGGTGAGCTGGGGCCAGATTCACGCAGCAGTTACGCAAGCACTTACGAACCTGTACATCTTTTCTCAATCTTTGGCGGCTTTGTTTACAATAATCAAACAGTTAATGAGCTCCGAAGCACCAGGAGGCTGTTTATAACAATAACAACAGCTAATTGGGAAGTTTTTCATGCTTGTAAACCGTTTAATAAATGTAACCAAAGCCGTCAAAGATTGAGGAAAGATGTACACGTTCGTGAGTGCTTGCGTAACTGCTTCGTGACTCTGGTCCCGGGTCCATAAGGCTACGTTCTTCCCTTCAAACATCATCACCTCTAGTCGTCCTACCTGTAGTGTACCTGTGTGGCTCCGCTGAGATCAGCCTCCCCGCGGCCAGGTTGGTGGGCTGCTCCAGGAGACACCGCTGCTCCCTCACGTCTGCCACAACCAAGGGTGTTTGTCACTTGTTTATTGTGAAGTTCTTGGGGCAGAGTGAAGCTTCGTCTGTTTACCGTGAAGCTTTACGGGTAGCGACATGACCCGTCCAAGCTGCGGTCAACCACAACCCATCCTCGCCACCATGAGGTGGTCACGATGAGTTTGTTTTAATTACGTTTTTAAAAAAGATTTTTTTTTTAATTAGATTTTTCATTTATATATACAAGAGTTCTTTCATTCTTGTACAGCACGCATAGCGTTTCGGGCAGGTCCTTAAACCTAATTTTCCCCGGAATACGACCCGCCAAATCGTCTAACCAGGTTATTGTTAATTTATAACAATAACCACCAGGTTGAGAGCGCTAAGTCGTCTTGTCTTGGCGCTCTCTTGTAATAATTACTTCTTATCGTGTCTTTTTAAAAATAACGTTAGAATATGTTTGAGTAGGCTACCAGCTTGGTCCCTGGAGCTCGTTCTCGTGAAAATGAATCATGGTTAAGCAACCTGTCCTCTTACAGCCTGTCCTCTTACAGCCTGTCCTCTTACAGCCTGTCCTCTTACAGCCTGTCCTCTTACAGCCTGTCCTCTTACAGCCTGTCCTCTTACAGCCTCTCCTCTTACAGCCTGTCCTCTTACAGCCTCTCCTCTTACAGCCTGTCCTCTTAAAAAGAACGTCGCTTTTCGATCGTACTTACTTAAGGCCTATAATTGTCGCATTAGCAAATGGAAGCGGCTGGCGAAAGTGACGTACTGTTCCGTTTTGGGTCCTCTGGTAGGTTAGGATAAGGCCACTTTTGTAAGCCGGTTTTCTTGACGTTGGAAAACCTTAGGAGGACGGGCTGGATTAAGACGTTCAAGAGGTCATGGGTGGAAGCTGGAGACGCAGAAAATATGTCCTCAAAACGAAGTGGAATGAGCTAGAAGAGGAGATTGAAATATTGTCGGGCACAGCTGAAAAGGCGGAGCCCAAGAGCAGACGCCCTGTCCTGCCGGCAGTATTAGTTGGGTACGCAGATAATCGAGGTCACGCACATGCACGCGCATTCACGCGCGCACATAGAGGGGATGGAGGAACTCATCTTTTAACTAATTCGTGGGCAGGAGGCGGCCGGCGTGACTAAGCTGAGTGTATGAATGACGGCGGGCGTGAGGAGCCCTTTACCGGAAAGTTATTAAAGCCTGGCATCCCCTTACTGCAGGCCAGTCGCCCGCCCCCCCCTGCGTCAGCGGTAGGGGCGGCCTCTCCCCGGGGCACACTCCCCCAGGTCCCCCCTGGTCATGGCCTGCCCAGCCACCAATATTATATTCACAGTTATCTTGAGGTTATCTTGAGATGATTTCGGGGCTTTAGTGTCCCCGCGGCCCGGTCCTCGACCAGGCCTCCACCCCCAGGAAGCAGCCCGTGACAGCTGACTAACACCCAGGTACCTATTTTACTGCTAGGTAACAGGGGCATAGGGTGAAAGAAACTCTGCCCAGTGTTTCTCGCCGGCGCCTGGGATCGAACCCAGGACCACAGGATCACAAGTCCAGCGTGCTGTCCGCTCGGCCGACCGGCTCCCTCCCGGCTCCAGTCGCCACATTATCCACCAGGAAAGTTAATTAAACGTTCAATCAACGTTGATTCAACGCGGAGTTAATGTTACACGTGGATGGTAGTGCCGAGGACGTCGTGACCACCGGAGTCTCTCCCCAGATGCCTCCCACGACTCCTGGGGGTATCTTAACCCAGCTCAGCTTGCGGGTATTGTACTTGACCTGCTGATCAGACCTGCTCGTGGTGCCTTAATTATTCCCCTTGTAGCGCCGTCCATCTCCTCCAGACTCTAAAAACCTCTTATTCTAAAAACTGTTTTGTTTTCACTCGTTTTGTTTTAGTTTTTGGCGAGTGCTTCATAGTGGAGGTTCATTACGTACATTGCCACATGTATCTTCTCCCTGGATAGGTCGGGTCTGTGAGGTTCTCACCTGGAGATAGAAATGAAAAAGAAGCTAAAAATAGATATAATGCCAACATACTAACTCATGATGCGACGAGTCTGTTAGTTCTAGTGTGTGTGTGTGTGTGTGTGTGTGTGTGTGTGTGTGTGTGTGTGTGTGTGTGTGTGTGTGTGTGTGTGTGTGTGTGTGTGTGTGTGTGTGTGTGAGTGTGTGTGTGTGTGCTCCCGATCTTGGTGACTACACACGTATTCAGAATTACACTTCACCTTTGTAAATGCACATTAATGACGCTTCGAACACTTTATGTAGGGCATACGTAAATCTGTGTATCTATGTATTTACGTATGTAGGTTAGCTTAGCATTTTAAAAGCACTACAATCACCTTCTGTGGTTGATTGTTCAATAAATCCCTGAACTATATGTTTAACAGATCTCTCACCCTGTCCACGGAGGACAGAAGAAAATGTATATATGCTGGTTAGCATTGTAAATGTCTGGCCACGTCTGTGGTAGAAAATAATAATAATAATAATAATAATAATAATAATAAATAACTGAGGTTAAGTTTACATCACTCTACAGACGTAACGTACAATACATGTAGATACATTACAAATAATATCTAGTAATTATTAGTATTGTGATTTATCTAATTGTTGTTGTTATGTGGTCAGCGTGGGTGGCTGGCGGGTGCGCGCCCCACCTGGTGACCCACGCGGTGCCCGACGCCGCCCTGCCCACCTGCGCCGCCCTCCTCCACGCCGCCGCCCACCGCCCGCGGCTCTCCGCACCCATGCCGCCCGACCTCCGCGGCAAGTGGCTCTCCTCCAGGTAAGTCTCAACACCTCTTGTTGTTGTGTCTTCTGCAGGTGTGCAGGTGTGTCTTCTCTCTTGAGTCTTCTGGAGGTGTGGCCTCCACACCTGCAGTTGTGGAGGTGTGTCTTTTCTCTGTACTCTTCTGGAGGTGTGGCCTTATTGAGCACTCGACCACAAGGAGTGATTAAAGTGCTTTTAAAGTTCTTTTACAAGTTCAATTATCACCCTACATATATTACATAATTGGTGCAGTACATAGTAAATCTTGGGTACAGGTCCGACGTATCAAGTGTTCCAGTACTCAGGTAAGTTCGACAGTTCAACAGTCTCGCCCCAGGCGGACCTGTCAGTCAGTCAATATGGGATATTCAACATTGTAATGTTCAAGGGAATGTATGTTTTCTCTTTCACAAAGTTGACACACGGTGTATTCCACACTTGAGGTTTGAGAAAAGTGTGAGATATACCTGTATCACAGGCGTAGTGTGGCCACCATACCCTCTCATTCCCGAGTTATTGCTCTATTAGTTCCACATATAAATGTCTCCTCGCGGTGTTCATCATAGTGTTTAATGCTACAATCTTCAGGTCTTTGTAAAGTTGTTAAGTCAGGAAGGTTTTCATCAGACATTTGTTTCAGTATTTTTTGTCACAGCTAATGAAATACCCATATTAATTTATATTATTGATCTGAGACAGGCTGTCTTTGCAAGCATGTCAACACTATCATGCTTTGAGATGCAGGCGATGAGTCACAATAACGTGGCTGAAGAATGTTGACCAGACCACACACTAGAAGGTGAAGGGACGACTATGTTTCGGTCCGTCCTGGACCATTCTCAAGTCGACCATTCTCACAATCGACTTGAGAATGGTCCAGGACGGACCGAAACGTCGTCGTCCCTTCACCTTCTAGTGTGTGGTCTAGTCAACATTCTTCAGCCACGTTATTGTGACTCCTCGCCTGCATGTAGATGGTCTGGTAATGGTGATGTCAGGCGACCTAAGTGAGTGAGCATAACAAAGTACAAATAACATCAGCCAGGAAGATGAAACGATGGATTAGTAGAAGCTTCAAGTCAACTCCAGATATGCCACCATTGTGCTCAAACTTTTCAGATCACTTGTGCCTGCCCGTCTTGAGTACTGCTCCTTACTCTCCTCCACTTTCACTCCATGCTCACTATCCTCCCAGCAAACGTAAACAAAAAAATGCTGGTACAATCTGGCAGCATTCAAGAGAAAATTAGAAACATTCCTACAAGAAGTGGCGGATCAGCAGGATTGTAGTGGATACGCCAGCCTGCGGACCGCTCCAAGCAACAGCCTGTTGGACCAAGTTATCACAAGTCGAGTCTGGCATCGGGCGAGGTTTGGGAAGTAGACCTCGAAGAACCCACCACAGGTATACTTCAGGTATACTCCTGGTGCATTTACCAACTCTACTGACAGAGACCATTTATTCCATAGACTCCATAGATCAGAGTTACATATCATATAAAACCAAAATACATAATCACATTTCCCTCTACTTTGGCCCTCAGGTAAATGTAGGATATTAGAGAACTTAACTGAAATTGTGTTGTCAAGATGTTGTCAATGGTTGACGCAGAGAACTGTGCTAATGGTCAACAGTTCTCACTTATGGGAGACACTTTTAACTCAGCTCTCATATTAACTCCTGGACTGTGGAGAGCCCCAAGGATGACTCGCAGCACTTCAATTATGCAGTTTCAATGGATTTTAGATCTGTATAGTGTCTGTAGAGCATAGAGCATTGTGTCTTTGTCTGTAGAGCATTGTAGTCGATCACAGAGCGGATAAATGATATACAGAACATTCCAGCAAGTCTCACGTTAATTCCATGATTGACACCAACAAGGACCCGCAAGGGCTTTAATCTCTCCCAGTCTTCCCTCCTGACAGAAGAGGTCCTCCCGGGTCCTCACTGTGAACAGTCGCCTCTCCTGGCCCATTTACACAGAGGGTCACAATAGAGCCGCTGTGCCGGCGTCGTTGTCTGTGCTGCAGGAAGCGGCGTGGCTCTGTTAAAATCATTTGTTTATTATTGAAGATGTAAAAATATATTTTTACAGCGATGGCGGCTTTCGCCATGTGAAGTAGTACCGTTTTGTTTTCTTTTGTAGCATTATGTCAACAGTTTATGAAGTGCGGTGTTTTCTGGGTGTACGGAGGAAGGAGTCTTACCTGTGTTGTGCCATGGCTCTGTCCCAGTGCCTCACGTGACCCGTACCCTGCTGGGACGGTAGACACTGGGACGGTAGACACCAGTACACCCATTGCGTGACAACATAATTACTGTTAATGGTTATTCCCCAGTGTTGGTTGTCAGGGGTGTGGGTGACGCCTGGGGGTTGAGGAGGGGCAAGTCTAAGAATATATTTGATGTAAATGTGAATTATTACACCAGCCAGGAACATTTTGTAAAGTGGCGATGGTTTTTGTCTACTGATAAATGTGCGTATTATTGGTGGTGTGGTGCGTTACTGTGGTGGACACGGTAGTGGAGAGTGAGGGAGGGTGTGAGTGTGTGAGGGGAGAGTGAAGGCGTGGGTGAGGGAGGGTGTGAGGGGTATGAAGAGGGGGGGGGGGGTAGGGGGGCAGCAGAGAGGTGGCCAGGGCGGTGATATCACTCCTGGCTGGCTCCTTACCTCGGCCACTTCACCGCCTGATGGAGCGGTCTCCTCATATCACTCCTGGCTTCACCGCCCTTACTCCGCTCTCCTGGCCACTCTCCCCTGCTGTTCTCCCACTATAGGGCAGGGGGGGGGGCATGCTCCAGGGCAGAGGGTAAACTTTGGCCCCAACATTTTCTGCTCGTCTTTGATAGATTAACTTGCATGAAGTTCTGCTTCTGTTGTAATATCATTGATGTGGTTTGCGGCTTTCTTGTCACTTGCTACAGTGTTCAATGTTCTGCATAGGCAGTAACCTCTGGAGTTGACTCAACGATGTCGTTGAGGTAAATCTTCTACAGGACTGGTCCGGTAACACTACCCTGGGGTACACTCACCCCTGGGGAGTGTTCCACAGGTGTGAGGGTGTTGACAACCTTGGAAGGTCCGGTTACTCAGTTTTGAATGATGTGCAGAAGACTCCCATCACCTCCAAGACTCGCCAGCTCGCACACCTGTCCTCTGGTGCCGGAACCTGTCCAATGATTGGTGAGTGGACAGGTGAGCATAGGACGAGAATAGTAGGCGAGATGAAACTATCTTAGTATAAGGGATAGAGCCACAGCTCAACCTAGGTTTCATTATAAGTGGGCAGAGTATTTTTTTTTGTTTCTGAGAGGAGTGTGGGGACGAGAACCCCGGGCACCGCCGGGTACTCCTCCTAGTCATAAATAAATTATCATAAGTATATAGGGTTTACCCGAGTATAATTACTTGTATGGTGAATATAGTGGCGGCTGCCCAAGTGCCTCCCACAAGCCACAATTATCCGAGAACAGTGTTTGTATTTCACAGAAAAAACTCGAGCCCGGCCAAAAAGCGTGAGGTGGACCGGATGACCAGGTGTGTCGTTAGTAAAATATGGCAGGAAATGACGCCCACCGACACCCTTGCGCTAATTAAGGCAGCTTACCTGGGCAGCTAATTACTGTACGAGGCTGGTAACTGAGGCGCTGTTAGTGATGAGAGGAACACACAGCATACGCACGCTCACCCCTGCTCGCACGCACGCACGCACTCGCCTGTTTTAATTTTGATAATTATTGCGGCTTAATTGGAGGGTGTTGAGGCAGCGGTGCGATGGTCAGGGAGCTGTAGTCTAGGTGGCCAGTTGGGGAGCGGTGTCTTGTTGACCTGTGGTGTTAGTGTGGGTAACCGCCTGCCCCGCCGCGGCGCCCCCTCCCCCCCCTCCCCAACACCCATCTCCCCAACATCACTACCCAACATATCCGAGGGAGAGGGTAGGAAGTGTCCGTCCATCAGGAGCCAAATATTTGCTCCTAGTTTTCGCCAATCTTTCTCCCTGGCGGTATGGCTGCCACCACCACCACCACCACCACCACCACCACCACCACCACCACCCTTCCCAGTGAGGTTTCGGCAGTTGCCAGGACTTGGGTCCGGGTGTGGACCGAGTAGGGTCCGGGTGTGGACCGAGTAGGGTCCGGGTGTGGACCGAGTAGGGTCCGGGTGTGGACCGAGTAGGGTCCGGGTGTGGACCGAGTAGGGTCCGGGTGTGGACCTAGTAGGGTCCGGGTGTGGACCGAGTAGGGTCCGGGTGTGGACCTAGTAGGGTCCGGGTGTGGACCGAGTAGGGTCCGGGTGTGGACCGAGTAGGGTCCGGGTGTGGACCGAGTAGGGTCCGGGTGTGGACCGAGTAGGGGTCCGGGTGTGGACCTAGTAGGGGTCCGGGTGTGGACCGAGTAGGGGTCCGGGTGTGGACCGAGTAGGGGTCCGGGTGTGGACCGGGTTGGTCCAGGAATATGGCGAACAGTAACCTGAGTTTGTAGTCAGTCAGGTTAAGAAGTTCTTAATATTTTGCCACGTGTGAAACAGTTACTCAAGGTCTTGGAGATGGCAACTCTCCGCACTCCAGCAGCAGCATATTTTGTGTTGGTCTGTAATCATTTCTCAGATTTTGGTATACACCTCAATTATTATTATTATTATTTACAAACTGAATTTAGTGTTATTTGATGGTATAAGCCAGGGTTTACGTGTATAGCATTATCTTGCTCCCTTGCGTCCTCACACGCGCACGCGCGCCAGAATATCATATTTTTGGCGTATCTCACCGGGTTGAATTACTAGGACAGGGAGCGTTATTTAATGTTGGTGGGGGAGATAGAGGTTGGTAAACGTGCAGAGACTCTATACAGAGCATTGGTCTACCTTACATCAATGGTCGGCCTATCTTACATCAATGGTCGGCCTACCTTACATCAATGGTCGGCCTACCTTACATCAATGGTAGGCCTACCTTACATCAATGGTAGGCCTACCTTATATCAATGGTAGGCCTACCTTACATCAATGGTA